TCCCTCTCCCCCTCACGTGCTCTCAAATAAATAAAATCTTTTTTAAAAATACGCCTGGGTGGCTCATTCGGTTAAGCGGCTGCCTTCGGCTCAGGTCATGATCCCAGGGTCCTGGGTTCGAGTCCCACATCAGGCTCCTTGCTCGGCAGGGAGCCTGCTTCTCCCTCTGCCTGCCTCTCCCCCTGCTTATGTTCTCTCTCTCTGACAAATAATTAAAATCTTTAAAAAAAAAAAAAAAAATTCCTAGGGCACCTTGGTGGCTCAGTCGTTAAGCGTCTGCCTTTGGCTCAGGTCGTGATCCCAGGGTCCTGGGATCGAGTCCCGCAACGGGGGCTCCCTGCTCAGCAGGAAGCCTGCTTCTCCCTCCCCCACTCCCTCTGCTTGTGTTCCCTCTCTCGCTGTGTCTCTTTCTGGCAATAAATAAATAAAAAATCTTTAAAAAAAAAAAAAAAAGCCCCTTATGTGTAGAAGGGAAGGGTTGGATAATGGGACTGTGGACAACTTTGTATTTTTCTTTATTGCTTTCATATTCTAAAATATTTTACATGAACATTTTATATACTGTAATGGGAAAAACTAAACTTTCAGGGAAATGTTTATTTCTATGTACAATACACTAGGTTGTTACAACTGATTTCTAAAAATAGTTAATAAAGTCTTAAAAACTATTTTAAAAAAGTAAATTGAGCTGGATTAACATACTGCCCTCAAGAAAAATTGTTTGCTTACTTTCATATTTAATGGTCATAATTTTATTCACATAGTACTTATTTACTGTGTTGTCTAATAAGCAGATATATTTTTACTTGGGCTGAATGAGGGCCTTTTGCTCCACTCATGACAGTCATTTGTTCATTGTTTTCTTTATGGGCCCCCATTAAGTGAATGCTGAAAACCATTTTCAGGGAAGACATTATGCATCTCTTCTGAGAAATTTCACATCCTATATTTTCATCCACAGTAAATTCTAAAAGCTCATTATTAATCTAAAAAATAACAGAACAGAAAGCCTAGAAAAATTTGCCTAAAACATTACTCTGTACCAGGTCTCTGTTTTCTCTAACTGTATTATTTCTGTTACCATCTTTAATTCTTCTTATTGAATAAGTTTAACTGTTGTTAATTTTGTTTCTAGTTTGCCATGTATTGTCTGCTCCTGTTTTATAAAGTACTGAAGGAAGAACTGAGTCCAATCCAACCTGTTGGCAAATTTCTTTGTGTAAAACTGGTGGTTTTTGTTTCTTTTTGGTAAGTGTTGCTTTCTCTTAAATGTAATGTTTGCATTTTCTACAGGGCAGTAACACTGTTGATTAGGGAGGATTTTCAAAATAATCCTAACATAGAAAATGAATTAAAATGTCTCTACTTACCTTTTAAAAAAGTTCATCTGTTTAGCCCTTCTTGGTTTTTCATAAAGAAATAATCAGATGGTCACCATAACATTTATAAGAAGAAAATAATTTGAGACAACCTAACTGTCTCAACACTAGAGGAATCATTAAAAAATACATGATGGTCCTTTCATATAAGAGAATAGTCTGCAGTTTGGAAGATAAACATAAGAATAATAATGTAAGGTAATGCTCATTTGCTTAGTAAAATACATTTTTTAAAGCAGAAGGCAAAACTGTACATGGTCCCAATTTAGTAAAAGGGTGGGTGATAGGGGACCTAGAAACAAATACACCAAATTTAACAGTATACAAATACAAAAAGGGGAAAAAGAATAATCCTTGAAATCCTACCACTCAGAATGAGTAACATTGTGGTGCAGATAATGTCACATATAAAATGCCACAGAAAGAGTTTCATACCATAAAAACTTGCAGAACTCAACGATACATTAAGTATGTTGTGGATATAGTTGTCAGTAAAATGAGGATATATTTTCTTATCGTTTGGGATTGTTTTTTGGTTTTACTAAGTATTCTGTTCTGTGGATCTAACCTTTTAATTACTCTCCTATTGACATTTAGATTGTTCCTCATCCTTTCACCGTTACAAGCAATATTGAAGTAAAATTCTTGTATTACAGAACTATATAAACCTATCTCATTATTAGCTGTTTAAATTTAACCTAGGGTCATAGCCACGGATGTGCTTGAAATGTTCAATATGACTCCCATTTTGGGAGTCCAATGCCTTCTGAGTTGGTCTGTAGTTCCAGCACTTCCAACAAGACTGGTTTCAAAATGTTTTTAAAAATAATCTGAATAATTAATACATGTGTAAATAACACTTCAGTGTCTGTCCTTTATTTTAAATGCCTATTGTTCAAGGTTGTGGGCATTGTCTGTGTATAGGAAGAACTTAAAATCTATTAATTGTATACACTTTCAAAACAAAGACATATAAACCAAGTTTTGAAGTTCCATGTGTATAAGAATGCATAATCAAAATTCACATGATGAAACTGTACTAGAAGAATAAATTTGTAAAGCAAATAAATGTATTTAGTATAGATATACGGTGTCTTCAGGAGTATGCTGTGAAGGTAGGGTGGTGGTGGTGGTCCACAAGTTGTGCTGGGGTTTAACTTTTTAAAATGGCATATTTTTAAAACAACTGCTCATTTTATGCTTGATATAGATATGGCGTTTACCTTTTCCTAACATATAGGCAAGCAGTAGTTATTGCTTTGTTGGTAAAAGTTGGCGTTATTTCTGAAAAGCATACATGGGAATGGCAAACTGTAGAAGCTGTGGCTACAGGACTCCAGGTTAGTGCTCTCTGTAAATAAAACTTTACTGTTTACTCATTTTACATATTATCTCCTAAACCTGACAACATGCAGGCCGTGAGGCTGCTATTATCCTCACTTTACAGAGGAGAAAATGGAGGAACCCTAGAGAGACTAGCCATCATCACTAATTTGTGGTAGAGCCAGGAACAGAACCTAGATTTTTGTTTTTCCTAGTCAGTTTCTCTTTGTGCATTTCTCTTCTTAGTCTTTGGGCAGTGGATTGAGACTGCATTGTACTTTGCAAAAACATACTTGACTGAGGTAGTGTAAAGTTTTGTCCTTTTTTTAAGAGGTCAAAAATGAGTTATTTTGGGAAAATGAAAAAATGAATATAATCTTATGGGGGAAAAAAACAGCTGTTGATACTGAAATACTTTTTGAAAAGAGAGAAAGATAGTGCTTTTCCTTTATCTACAAAACTAGATTTAAGCTGAAAGATGGCTGCTATTTTTGTTTTTGTTATTATAGGACTTTATCATCTGTATTGAGATGTTCCTTGCTGCTATTGCTCATCACTACACTTTCTCATATAAACCATATGTCCAAGAAGCAGAAGAGGGCTCATGCTTTGATTCCTTTCTTGCTATGTGGGATGTTTCAGATATTAGGGATGATATTTCTGAACAAGTAAGGCATGTTGGTAAGTACCAGCCATTTCATTCATCCAAATAGATAATTGTAGTTCTCCTGCTAGGGCAATTTAGAAGCTGTTTAAGAGATTAAAAGACTGTTTAAAGCAGTACCTGTAAAGCTCTTCAAAGTGAGAGATGGGAGGGGGGACTTATTCCTAGCATGGTAAGTTTATAGTGGTAAAAATAACTTTTGACTAACTTGGAAACCTTTCTATTACTTTAAAGGAAGGACAGTCATGGGACATCCTAGGAAAAAGTTTTTTCCTGAGGATCAAGATCAAAATGAACATACAAGCTTGTTATCCTCATCCTCACAAGATGCAATTTCTGTTGCCTCTTCTGTACCACCTTCACCCATGGGTCACTACCAAGGGTTTGGACACACTGTGACTCCCCAGACTACACCTACTACAGCTAATATATCTGATGAAATATGTAATGATACTACAGAAGAGAAAAAAGAACTTATAGATAAATCCGTGGCCTCCTGAACAATGTGCAAAAGCATTGCTCCTGCTACCATGATTTCATTACCTGGTATCCCATTGCTCAGGATTTTGTGCTTGGGACAAGCCATAAATGATGGAAAATTTCAACATAAAGAAGGTGAAAGCCAGGTACAACTACTGGATTTATATAACTGACTTGAGTTTTGTATATCACAAATAATCAGTCTAAATATCCTAGACTTATACTTGATTTCTTAACATTAGAGTATCACATACTCAAATGGTAGAAGATGACTACTAAATGTTCCTAATGTTACATTGCTTTATCAAGAGGATGGACATTAAAAAAAAAAAAAAAAATCAATGCTTCCTACCACTGCTGCATGAATATAATGCTCTGGATTTAGCAGAAAGTGTAATTTGGAAATATGAATTAGTGGAACTCTAATCATGTGCCATATATGCCTACCTAACAATTATTTCTCTATTTCTCAACTGGATGTCTTTCAATAAATAAGAATTTATCATTTATTTTCTGCAATTTTTTGTCTCTCATTCTTTAAACATAAACCCTTAATGTTTTGTCTCTCATTCTTTAAACATAAACCCTTAATGTTTTTACAAAAAGTTCTTAATTAGAGGCACAGCAAAAAAGAAGTAAGTCCAAAAAGATTAAAGGTTAAAAATTATATACCTACAATGAAAGATACCTGTATCTTCTATTCCTTTAGGAGAAATAGCTAGGACCCGATACTAATCTTTAAAGCAACTACTACCTAAAAATCCTATTTACAACACTAGTAATAAGATTATCCATGACTTTGAGATGAAAAGAATAAGCTGGGTAGAAGACTAGGAGAATAAATAAGAAACTTGTGATAGCAATGGAGCCTACTTCTCCTCTGTGCTATTAAGGGGGTCAGCAAACAAAGCTAGGCTGAGTAGTCTTAATTATTCATTAAACCACAGCCAGCAGACATGCAGGTGCTATTTCGGAGACATTTATTACTTAGGATGGAGTTTCTCTAATTGCTAATCACAACCCACTGGGTCATCTTTAACATTTACTGAAAATCTAGAAAGTGCGAGAGTAGGATGTTACAAATAGCAAGAATAAATATTTTCTCAAAATCTTTGCTTCATATATTTATGCACACATTCACATTTATGTACTGGTTCACAGTAATTAGATGCAAAGTCTTTATTCCGTCCACTCTTACAAACATTTCTATTGAAGGTAAAGCAGGGTAGTATAATACTAGAGGCAATGAGAATAGGCAATGTAGAGAGAAGGTGCATCTTATTTTCTTTGTGGCTTACTTAAAAAGAGCACACAGTATATACAAGGCACGATAATCTTCCTTATTAATCTCCCTGTTGCAAGTCTTTAAAAATTGGGCCAATTATTATATATTTCTTACTGCGCATCCAGATCAAAACTTTAAAAAAACTGGTTTAGGTTTAGCGCTTTCTTGAATTTACCAGTTTAATTTTCTTTGCCAAAGTAGACCAGGAAAAATGCTGCCTCTTAGAGATTTTACTTCATCCCTAACTTTTACTCTCTCAACAAATTCAGCTGATAGCTTAAATTCTTAATTCAAAAGTTTGCATTCTCAAAACACAAAAACCCAAGGAGTTTCAAAAGTACGGTATTTAAAAGAAGCAAGCTTGGAATTTACAGGTAACCATAACCCTCAGTCTTTAGTGGAAGCCCCAACTTTCTGATGTATCCCATTTAAGAAGTTTAGACTTAAAAAAAGCCAAGATGCCTTAAAAATTAAAAGTTTTGCCTTACTTACTGGCACAGGACAATGAAGATGGGACTCAAATCCCTTATCTTTATAGCTTTAGAGTGTAGACTAAAGTTCTATTAAACAAAATTGAAACCATTTTAAGTATAACCAAGCAATAAAAACAAACTTCGCTAACTTGAAAAATTAATGACAGCCTTTTTTGGAAAGGAAGTCTGCAGCAGTATCTTTGTAATAATGCTCCTCTTTAGAATCTTTTAAATATACTTTATTAATTTAAAAAAAAATATTTGACCATTACAAGGAATTAAATCTTTACACGTATCCCCATTTTATGATTACAATCCCACTACTAATTCAGACCAGAACTGTGTACTTGCTGCTCTACCTGGACAGTTTTTCATTAGAAAACTGCTCTTCACTGCTTTACTGTGATGCTGACATTGCTTTTGTGGTGCTGGACATTTAGTACTAATTCCTCTCCCATTTCCACCTGGATGGGATTATCTAAAACAACTGCAGCTTGTTTCCAGTGGGAGGCGTCACTTGAAGTATCCAACCTAATCTCGTCATCAAGGTACATATGATACCAAAAGGGAATGGCAGTCACTTGTCCAGATTTACAAATGTGTACCTATGAAAATTAAGAAATCATGAAAATTTCATCAGAGTAAATAGAGTAGACTTGGATAAGTAAGTCTGTCTTTTTAGTCAATTTTAGCTCCAAATTTTATAAAATTTAATCACCCAATTCAAATTAATACCAATCTATTGTATTCACTAGTATTTACCCAAGCTCATTTTTGGATATTGTTTAGAAAAAAAATAACATTTAAATCGTCAAAAAAAGTGGCTAATACTATTTTGTGTACATGAAGTATTACCTAGCTTAAGATAATTCTGAATATGACAAGAATAATCATTTTGTATTACCTTTACTTCTCTGTTAGAGGTGTTCAAATATGGAGTCATTAAATCTAGTCTTAAGAGTTCCACTGGCTTGCTTAAAGGTATACAGGGCAATGAGGAAAGATCCAAAAATACGCGTATAGGTACCTAGACAAAGTACAAATTTTTCACTTTTACTCAATTCTTTTTGTGGCCAAGTACCCTCAGGTACTTACTTCATACTTGCATCAGTATGATACGCTTTTTACATCTAATACCTCATTTAATTCCCTTATCAACCTTAAGGCATAAGCAGTTTCATGATTCCAGTTTTATAAGAAGAATGAACAAACCAAGGTTTAGGCAGGTTAAATAATTTGCTATGGTTTCAATTATCTACAAATTCTTTGCTTGGATGAACGCAAATTAAATTTTTACTTAAGCCAAACAGCTCCAAAAATTTTAAACCCAGGATATGCTTATGTGTGAAAGACGAACTAATAAGCAAATAGTACAATATTAAATTACTGTATTATTTGAGAAAATATGCCAAATTCAACCAAATAATAGTGGACTTTATTTGGAAAATAAAGTTTATTTCTAGAAAGCAATGGTTCTCAACTTTAGCTGCAAGTTAAAATCAGCTAAAGAGCTTTTTTTTTTTTTTAAAGATTTTATTTATTTATTCATGAGAGACAGAGAGAGAGAGAGGCAG